TTATGTTATTTACATTTATAGTTACTCCAAGTTAATTTTCTTTTCTTTTTTGGGGTTGGTGACAATTATGGTTATTTTAAATGAATTAAACCAAGTTTATATTTTTCCTAGGATCTTCTGACTACAGTGAACCCACCAAAATAATTTTTGTATTTTTCTGATGAATATTTTAATTATTATAATTTTTATATCAAAATAGAGACCATTAACTTAAAAATTAGACATCCATGCCTAGAGATCTTCCCTAACCTTGGAAAAATCAGAAAGAGAATCCCTATAACATGTAAAATCAAAGCCCCAAAGATCAAGTCATGGTGAAAGGTCTATGCTAATGGAGAATCAAAATAAGAAAAACACTATTTAATTAATTAAAAATAAAATATGCATCAAATAAACATGAAATTATTTCCACATTATTTTTCTCTCTTCACTGAGCAGCAGGGTATTTTTATTTTATTTTTTATGATTTTTCTACACAAAGTTATGCATTTTTGAAGTTATGGCTATTTATTTAAATTAGAAAATACCTAAATTCCTAGTTAAGTGATGCGGCGCCCGTGCATACTATACAGATCCAAAAACTCCACTCGTCCGCCTCGTCAGCCCGCGATTCCGTTCCATCTCCCCATCCTGCACGATCAAAGCCGTCCGTGCAATATACTCCCGATCCAACGACTCTCGGTCATCGTTCCCAACGAAGCCAACCCGCAAACCGTTCGTTTTCAAACCCTAATATCTTGCTCGATTCTTAACCAAATCAAGTGCAGTTTGTTCCTATAGACTTGTCTCGACTAGGAGAACATATCTATACGGTTAATTGACCCTTAAATCAACTCTATACACATGAAGAATCAAATGAAGCTTAGTTTAGTGTTAAAATTCAAGGCCTTGTTCCAAGAGGGGAAGCCTCGATTAAATGCCGATTGGATGCTTGTGGAAGCTTCGTGAGGGTCCCAAGAGCCTAGGGATGGAGCCTTAAGCCGTGGCGAATCGCCTAGATATGAATTCGACCAAAGTCAATTTAGGGTTTTGATCAAAGTCCGCTTTAGGGTGTTCTGGTGATGGGCCTTTTATGGGGGATCTTCTTCTCTTGATGTGGGGATGGTGTGGGTGCAATTAATTTGAATTTGTTGGAGGTTTAAGGGGTGTCCTGTTTTGGCCTAGAAATTAGGCTAAAAAATTAAGCTCAAACAGTGGCTTTGAGTGGCTCCCCAATGAATTTGGCAGAGTCTCCCCAAAGAATTTCAAGCTAGAGCCCTTTGGCCATGGAGGGGGGGTTTAAATAGATGGGAAAGGATAGGCCACCAGGGGCAATTGGTGGGTGTCCTAAGTTGCTTATGTGGATGCCAACAATGTGCAAAAATCTAATTGGGATAAGCCAACTTGGATGGGTTTAATTTTGAGTTTTGGCCATGGTGGAGCTTTTGATTTTGGGTTTTCCGGCCACCAAGGTGGCTGTCGGCCAGGAAGGGGTCACCATCTAACTCAGGAAGGTCAGGGCTTGGTCTTGGTGAAGTCAATTGGGGTTGGCCATGTGTAAAGGTAAGGGATTGAAATAGTATGGGAAAAGGGTCATTTTGGGTCAATTTGGGTCAAATCATGATTTTGGTTGGGTTTAGTCACAAAGGTTGGTCTTGGACTGAAGAGGAGATCATTTAGTTCAGCTTAATCATTGGGGATAAGTCACCATCCAAAGAGATTTGGCTAAACATGGGTTAGAGTGATTCATGAGAGGAGTTAAAACCTTTTTAAGGAAGCTTGTAGCGGCTTGGCGTCTTGCCACTTATACTCTTACCATTAATAGTTTGATGATGTGGCAAGACTCTGATGGCTTTTCTATGGCTTGAGAGTGGTTTCATGGCTTGCATGTGGCTTGACTAATTTTCATGAGGAAGGATTTTGGATTTATTTGGTATTTTTGGTGAAGTTTGTCATGAGGCTTGATTTGGAACATTTGATCATGAATTTGAAACTTAGGGAGTGTTTTAATTGAATGGATGATGAAGAGAAAAGAGATTATCATGTGGGTATTGGATTTAGGCTTTTTTGAAATGACTTAAAGATTTGGGCTTTTAAGAATGAAATTGAATTTGGGCTAAAATTTGGTCCAATTGAATGTTGAGTTTGGTGTATGGAGATGTCATGAAGGATTTGGAAGAATTTCAAGTGATTTTGAATTAAATTGGTGGATCAATTTGGTGGATTTGGGCTATTGGCCAAATTTGGGCCTTCAAAATTAGGGCTTTTTAATTTGGTTATAATTGGGCTTGCAATTGGATCAAATTGGGCTTGAATTTTGTTTAGGATTGGGGATGCTGAATTTTGATTTGGAATTGAAATTGGGCAAGATTGGGGTCAATTGGGCTAAAGGTTGGGGCTAATTTGGGGACATTTGGGCATTTAAGGGCAAATTGGGGTTTTTGGTCAAATTGGACTAATTTGGTCAAATTGGGTCAAATTTATGATAAAAAATTGAATTTGGGAATATTTGGGAATTTTTGGAACTTTTGGAATATTTAGGTCATGAGGGGTATTTTGGTAATTTTGGGCAATTTTGGGGGTATTTTAGGAATTTGGTAATTTTGTGAATTTTAGTAAATTTAGGTTGTGGTGAGGGTTTGAGATGATTTTTTTAGCAAATTTGGATATTTTGGGTAATTTTGAGATTTTTTGGCAAAGATTGAGGTTGTAAGGGTATTTTGATAATTTGGTGATTTTGGCCAAAATGGGCCAACAAGCCATGAAGCCATACTAAATCAATAGGAGTCATATGAGGACTCATTTTGGATGCTCAAATTGCTGGTTTTAACCTTCTTAGCCAAAGATTAGGGGTACAGCGTCATCCACATGAGCTTTTCAAAAGGAGTCAAAAGACCAACCTAAGGGGGCATAAGGTTTAGAGCATGTGAGAGTGTGTGGTGTGTGCAAGTCAGTCCCACCAAAACCAGATCACCCAGGGTTAGTCCTAAGGTCTAACCATCCTATGGGGGACTCCCCTTGAGCTCATTCATGTTGACCCTTCCTACTAAGTGCTAAAGGTCAGGACCAATATGTGGAACTTCAAGTTGAGCAAATAAGAGATTGGAATTTCTAATGGTGAGTGTTCCTTTTCTAGTCTTTTTTAGGAATAGTCAATAGAAAAGTCATATGGCTAGACCCTAGGCTACTAAAGAGGAAAAAACTAGACCTCAACCAAAAATGAGGTGAACATCACCTTATTGAGAACACATTCGAGAAATGCACAAGATCCCATGAGATTTAATTCTAAGAAATGAATATCAATTGTCTTAAGCACATATTTTTAAAAATAAATTTAAACTTATAATTTAGCAATAATACCCATCTGATTTGACGTATATTAATATCAAACAATATTTTCTTAGTTTTATCAAAGACGTGCATTTCGAAAGTAAGAGAGTTTTATTATCGGAGTGTTCAAATAAAATAAATTTATTAAAAATAAATATGAAACTTATGAAATCTAACAAATTTATATGATTTCATAATAATATTCTCAATAATCTGTACAAATGCAAACTGACAGAACAAACCGTAAAATCAAAAGATGAGGAATTGAAACTCCTAAGAATTTCTAATGTCATAATGAGTATTACTATTTGTAAAACTAGCTCAAGTCATCAGAATACTAGAAGACAATACTTGCTTAACCCAATCGAATTAACTTAGAATCACTCTGAAAGATATTACAAAGCAAAATAGGCATACAATTTGAAATAAATTCAAAACTTTAACAATAGTGCACATTCTACATGAGAGAATCATTCTTACCCGATATCAAAAAATTCCTTTTTTATTTAATTTCCTTAAGTAGCATCAATAACCATATATTTGACCTCAAAGTTTAGTATGAAAGCATAAGAGGGAAATGGCTTCAATATAATTCATTCAAAACCATGCCAAAAATGGTGGGGATATTTATTATGAAATTGATATTGTCTCCCATGAAAGTAAGGCCAACTTCATCCTTTCAGAGCCAAGCTGTGCTATCTCAGCACCTTAAGAATATCCTGAAATGAATGCTTCATTTTTTTTATCAATATCCCTCAATTGCTTCTCAAAATTTTGAATTTTCCTTGACAACGTTACATTGATTTTGCTTAACACTACTTCGACTATATAGCTCAATATTGGCTACAGCTCAAATTTATTAGAGTTTTATTCAACTTCAGCCCCTTTAAAAATCATTAAGACAAACAAAAAGCTAAATCGATAGAAATTAGATGCTTCGAAAAATTTTATTATTTAAGACATGAACAGATACATTTAAATGTATAGCACTTGAATCTTTAATATCACATCAAAAATATCACTATTATTTTGTTAAAGTGAAACACATCGTCTCATACATAAATTTATAACACCAAAATATAATAAATATAAATATAAAAATTAGTGTTAGATATGTAAAAGCATGAAAATTGCGGTCTGTATACAGATTTCCCATAAAATACAATAGCAATAACTTGTACAAAAAAATAGATGTAACACCTAAATTTTTAATCAGCAGTTGAAAAACGAGAACTCCTAATCCGATAAAAAGTAATTAAGATAAAACCAAAGATTATAATAATAAAAACATAATGTCCTTAAGCATCATGAAATGGTGCAGCATATTTCACATTGTGGTTAGGAGCTGTCTCGAATAATAAGCTCATGAGTTCGGCAGTCTGCATGAGCAAGAAAAATAAAATCAAAAGCAATGTGGAATACAAACTATATGCAGCCCATACTTTTTTATAGCTTATTTAATTATTACATTGACCCAAGAAATTATTATAATTTCTAAACCTCTTTTCTTTTGTTTCATCTGGCCTTTTTCATCTTCTATAACCACGGTGCGTATACAAATTAATAAGAAAATAAAAGTTGAAAGGTCTCGCAAGTTCGTGAGACAAACCAAAACTTACAAACTCCACAAAAGAATGACATCTGATATTTTCAAGCAAATTATTAATTACATTACGTGCCGTAACTACTCATAGCTCATAAGATGATTTCTATTGATCAGACATGTTATTTACAAAAGAAAAATAAAATTCATGCTCTAAACATTTTTGAATAGCTTAACTACAACAGACGAGTAAATCTCAGTTCTTAAACAATGGATGTAACTGCTGAAAGAGCAGACTGTAGCAAGCTGCTTAACTTACCTCTCAACCTGAAAACAGCACACTGTAAGGACTTGAAAGCACCAGAGTCTTCATTCCCAGAATCATCAGCCTGAAGCAACTGACGCTCCAAGTACTTTCTCAGGCTCACCTCGACAATGTCCAGGAGGCCGAGGGAAGGATGTGCTTGCATCCACTGGGACACCATAAATCCAGCCAGAATGCACTGCTTTGCTTGGACAAGCTCAGAAATGAAACATGGCAGCAAAAGCTGGCCAAAGAGCAAGGAGGTATTCAAGTTTGGTGTACCAGTATTATTATCTCTGTATTTGAGCATGTCGTTCTGGCAACCTCTAGCCAGACGCCCCACCAGATAGCATATGTAAGAGAAGAAATTTCCAAGGGTGGGATCAAATGTGATGCTTTGGAGAACCCCTGATGAGAGCACGAGCAACAGAAGCTCGTAATCATTGACATCACAACTTTTGGGAGGCCCACTTCCTCTGAGCTTCGACTCGATTACTTGAAAGCAAGCAAGTCTGGGGGAGTCATAAGGGAGAAGCAATAGAATCTTCAGAGCCATGAAGCAGTCTACTTCAACCATCATATGCAACAAAGATTTCGTTTCATCTTCATCTAGTAATATCCCATCAGACTCGGATGATCTCTGGTCCAGTAATTCAATTACTGATCGGTGTCTAGAATGCATGACAAGCATTTTGATAATCTCCATCCAACAGGAATGAAGAGGACGGATGGACTGCGATGGCTTTTTCTTTTCCCCTCCATTAATCAGATCATCAGGAAGTGTTTCCCAACCTTCATCCCAGTCATCATAGTTCCATTCATTGTCATCTTTTGGAGAATTCTCAAGTTGCTCCTCGTTGGTTGTGGAAAATAACATTTCCCAGTCCTCTAAAACAGCTTTCAGCACATCAGCATCATCTGCTGAAGTTGCAGATTCACATAGATTTAAGAAGCAGGTTACTGCTGAGTCTAGGCTGCTTAGATCCTCTGGAGTAATCTTAATATATGGCATAACTGCTGTAATCAATCGAGATGATTTCAAGGCTATTAGAGTAGTTGTGATGTTGCTGGACCCATCTGTTCCATGTGCAGTTGTTGAGGTTTTTGACTGACAAGTTTCTTCGCAATCCTCCCATGGCTCAACCTCTGAAATGATCTCAGCAGGGAGACTTTTGTAGAATTGTCCAGAGATGCACTGCATAAGCTCCAAAGCATACACTTTTATGTTGCTTTCTAGCTCTGTGTTATCCAAAATTGCACTCAGTTTTCCCCAAACTTCAGACCGGATCACCATAAGCTCATCTGTATGTCCACCCTCTATCCTGCTTAAGGATGACAGCAACCGGTGTAAATTCCGATGCTCAGCAAAGCCATAACTTACACGTGTTAAAACAGATTCTGTTACACTAGCATATAGATCCGCTAGACTCTCCTGCTTTCCACTTTTACTATAGCATGATGAGAGTGTGTGCACGTCAAAATATACATTAGCAATTGAATTAAACCTACAACCTGACACAATCATTGATTGGAAGAAAGATGGAATGTCTGTAAGAGCACCCCCCTCATCCTGATGAGCAAAGTTACTAACAATGCGCCAGCCCTCACTTGCTGAGATTTGACCTTCCATCACAAACTTTTCAAAAATCTTCAGAAACTTTGGCGGGCTCACTTCACTGGAGAAGGCAGCCTTTTCAGAAGTTTCACAACATTCAGTCACTTGTGTACCTTCTTCCAGTTTAATCCAAAGATACAAGACCAAGACAAGACAATGCTTCCACCCGGGATCATCAGTTAGATTCCACAAAGGATTGCAAGGTGTACAAAGCTTTTGAAACCTCTTTATTACGTGCAAAATATCCACTTCTGGCAGGGCTCTGATATATCTCTTACAGTGATCAAAGTTTTGATCAATTTCCCCTAACAGAACCTGAAAATCTTCTGGGGTTTTCACATGTAGAGTTTCTTTAGTTCGATCATCTAGAGATGTTAAGAGACTTAGAACATGATGTTTGTATACATCTTGCCATGATATAAAACCCTTCCCATTTGTATCGCCATACATGCCTACAAGGATACGCACCATGTCTGCAAGAGCTTCTACGGTAGATTCGTTAATGTTATTTAGGATTTCTTCATTAAAGCTGTCACAATTTAACTCATCTAGTCTGGCAATATTTTTGAAGTTTAACTCTTCGATAAAGGATACCTTTTGGCATTCTTGGGCAAGAACTTTATAGAACTGAAATGGCTCAACATGCTTGTGCAATTGATGATAATGGCTTGACGACAATGCTGCCTTCTTAAGTTTACTGTGGCGTAAGTGGCACGCTGAAAGAATACTATAAACATACGAAAGACGATCTTTGTTACGCCCATTAATTTCAGGCAACACAACTGTAGATATGATTTCAATGACACCCTCAGCGCAATTGGCAAAGTCCTCTCTATATTGTGAAACTTCAGTTAGGATGTCATCATTTCCCCACTGTTCAGATACAAGGACAGAGCCAAAGAATCGAAGTATTACCTGCAAGAAAATAAAATGCAAGAAGAAAGAATGACTAACAATAAAAATGAATAAATATGTTCTTAAATAGAGATTAAGAATGGATTAGAAGAAAGTAAATCATGAGAGGGAGAGATAGACCTCACTGCGCTGCAAACTATAAGTATCTGCTAACTTTACTATTTCCTTGAGATTATGCTTTTTCTGTGTCTTTACTGAGTCAATTACTGAAAATATAACGGTTCTAATATATTTAATGTCTCCTGACAAGAAGCGGTTTGTATCTACTCCAGGAACTGTTTCCTCCAGCACTCTTGTTTGATCGGCTAAACGTTTCTGATCTTCTAATTTGGTTTTCCACTCTCTCCAAAATGTAGAGTGCACTTTTTCAATTTCTTTCACTTCATCTGTACTAATAAAAGCAAGCAGTTACTAATGAAATATCGATAATAAAATAAAGAGCAACCAAATCATTGTTTGATAAAATCAAAAACGGAAGCAAAGCAATGGAACGGACAAACAAGGTTTGGTAAACATTCAATAATTTGGATGTGAAAAATGGGCTTATGTTTGCATAAAATAATTAATACCACATGAAGCGAAGAAAAAAGTAATAAGACAAACATGCAGTAATTGGATAAAGGAGAAATATAATTAAGGGTCAAAGCTTTGATTGATAAAACCAAAAATAAATGCAAGTCCAAAATATTTTTTTGCTATACACAACATTTGGACAAGAATTTTTCATCAACAATTGCACAACAGAATATCTAATCTTATGTTTGACATGAAAGGCCATGATGGTACAAGAAAAAAAGAGCATAAAACATAATTGGCTGAACTGATCTGATTCACATTTTTAAAATAAAATAATCCTATTCATTAAATACATAAAACACTAATACTAGTTGTTGAAGAACCATCAAATCAAGGAGTAATAGCATAATTGCTGGATAAAAAATTAAAAGCCACAGATTTCCTGCTTATAAGAAAAGAACTCTCCCATATATTACATATAAAAACAAAAAGAAAGAGCCCGCAGATTAATCCCTCAGCACCAACCAACAGTGTCACGACCCAGCCAGATAGCTTAGAATTAACCAAGTTTGAAATTACATTCTGACGATATTAACATTGCATTTACTTTTAACAAATTTTCATAACTTCCGATTTATAAAAGAACCACTTATAAACCACAAAATGCATTACACAGAAATCAAATCATCCAAAATTAACACCATAGTCTGCAAATAAAATAATTCAAACCAGCACATAACAGTATCACTACACATAAGTAAACAGTAGAATAACTACATTCACAGCCCAAAATAATACTTATAACTTGTAGTCATCCTATAAAATAAATCTTTCTTGTCATACATCAATCTACATGTTTTCTTGAAAAAAAATTAATTAAATTCAGCAGTAAGTATTCTACCACTAAAGGAGCAATTAAAATTTTATTATGCATTAAATTAATATGAAAATATTATGCATGATGTCCCAAGAGTATACAATTAATTGACAAATCAAAATTATAAGCTTTCATTTCTAATTTAACCCTTCACATTTCAATGTAAGTATTTATTAACTATTTTTAACCTCTTTAAGAAATTATATCAAAATTACAATCATAATCGAAGATCTACTCAAAATTTTACCTATAGGTATCCTCAAAATTTTACACACGAAGGTACACCTATACTATTTTCATTTTCTTTTTATATAGAGTACATTGCATCCGTTGTAAATAACATCTGGGGGGAATCTTGAATGACTTAAGCTTTTACATTTCATTTCCTTTAATTACCTACATTTAAAGTCATTAAACAATTATTTTCTCTTTTATCATTTCATTTCATTCATTTCAATAATTCTTAAACTTATATCATGCATACATTTATAAAAACAAATGTTTGAAACTTTAAGGCAAGTCATTGTTCAATAAAACATCACTTTAATACATATAAGAAAGTAATTACTCGCCTTTAATGCCGCAACTTTCGTCTTCACCCTCTAATCTGAACTTCTAAAGCTTAAATTTTGCTTAATTTAACCTATTAATATTTTAATATACAAATATGTATATATTAGATTTATTAATTATAAATAAAGAAACCCTAGCATTTACCTCAGTCATCTAAATCTCTTTTGCACAAATATGCTCCTCTATCTCCCCACCAATTTGACATTTTAATAGCTTCGATGATGATTTGATTAAACTTACCATTAACATTTTTAATTAATTTAATTATTTAATTTAAAAACTTGAAACCTTACCTCACTAAAGACAAGACTCTTATATATCCTGCATGTGAGACAACTAGGATCACAGGGCTTGGCTTTAGCTTTGACTCCACTACCTTATGTGCTCCTCCCTCCTCTTCTTCCCGCATGTCACACAATGCCGCGAATCACATCTTCTTTTTCCTCTTCTTCAATGAGACACAAAATCAAACACGACAACACATGAAGCTCTTCCGTTCTTCCTTCAAACTCGGCTTGACTCTAGTATCATATGCACAAGGCAATCTCTTACTACTCCTTCCTTTGACTAGGACACGACATTGCCTCCTCCTTCAGCTTCGACACAGTGTCACACCCGATGTTGCATCCAGAATAGACGAGCGCCTCTCTTTCCTCGAGCACTGAGCCGCTCACCTCCTAATTGTCCTTCTAATAAGAGAGCTTTCTCTTCTTGTTCCTTTGAATTAGGGCACGACTGCTTCTCCTTATTATGTTTCTTCTCCTTTTCTATAGTGTTTTCTCACTCTAGCGTTGTTTCTCTTGCTCACTCATTCTCGGTAGGCTATGAACGAAAAGGCCGAGGAAGCCCTATTGATTACACTTAAAATAAATTGTCTCAATGGTTAATACGATTTGACACATCTAAAAGTATTTATTTTTATTTTTATTATTATTATTATTATTTATTAAAACATTAGTTATTACAATATCCCCTTCCTCGGCCTTTTCATTTATAGCCAACCAAGAATGAGTGAGCAAGAGAAACAGCGCTAGAGCGAGACACAGCGAAAGAGGAGAAGAAACATAATAAGGCGAAGCAGTTGTGCCCTAATTCGAAGGAAACAAACATATCTTAACTAACAAATTGGGATATCTTTCTTGCATATCTAACACTTTATCCCAAGTAGCCTTCTTCACTGATTCGTGCTTCCATCCAATCATTAAAAATTGAATCTCCCTACTCAGAAGTTTTTTAACATCATAATCCAATATCCTTTCAGACTCTTCTATATAGGTCAAATCAAATTGTACCTCCACTCCATCTACAACAATTCTATTAGGCTCATCAGCAATACACTTCCTAAGTAAAAATATATGGAGAATATTGCATGAGGTGATAAAGTCAATCTATAAACCACATTTCCAATTCTCTTTGCAATCTCATATGAACCTATAATTATATTTATCAAAATTGAATTGAACCAACCATCATCACCAAAACTAATCAAAGATAGCTTCAGCATTTTCAAGTCTTTAACTTATCTTGTTGAGTGAATGAACAGTTCCAGTTACTTGAAGTATTCCAAGTCAGTGCATCTGCCACCACATTAGAGTTCCCTGTGTGATATTGTATGTCTAAGTCATAGTTTTTAATGAATGTCAGTCATCTATCTCAAATTCAGTTCTTTCCGAGTAAAGATGTACTTAAAACTCGGGTGATAACCATATACCTCATATCTAACCCCATATATGAAGTACATACAAATCTTAAGTGAAAAAATAATTGTAGTTAACTCAAAGTCATGGGTATGATAGTTCCTTTCATGATTCTTCAATTGTCTTGAAACATAGGCAAGGACCCTTCTATTTGCATAAGCACACACCCCAACCTTTTAATGAGGCATCACTATAAATCTAAAACCAATCTGACCATGAAGGAATAGTCAATATTGGAGTAGGCACTAACAAATTTACAGCTTCTAGAAAACCTCCTCACAACGATCTAACTACTCAAAATTCAATGCCCCCAGAGTTAATCTGAATAATGGCATAACAATTAGTGAAAACCTCTCGATTAATCTCCTGTAATAACTAGCCAAATCTAGAAAAATTTTGACCTCAATAACAATGGTTTTTGACCAATCTGCAATTGTCTTGATCATACTCTAATCCACATATATGTCATCTCCACTGATAATATGCCTAAGAAAAGTTATATTTGTAAGCCAAAATTCACATTTAAAAAATTTAGCATACAATTTATTCTCTTTCAAAACCTACAGAGCATCATGCAGATAATCGTTATGGTTGGCTTCATCTCTCAAATACATTAGCATATTATATATGAATGCAATCACAGTTGTACCCAAAAACTGCCTGAAAACACTATTAACCATATCCATAAAAACCACTGGAGCATAGGACAATCTAAATGGCATCACCACAAATTTATAGTGCCCATATCTAGTCCTGAAAGATATATTTGTTTTGTCTTCCTCTTCAATTTTAAACTGGTGATAGTCTGATATTAGATCAATCTTTGAAAATACAGAAGCTCTTTCAATCGATCAAATAACTCATCGATCCTTGGCAATGGATATTTGTTTTTAATTGTGAGCATATTCAACTCCCTGTAACCAATGCATAATCTGAAGCATGAGTTGAAAAGTTAGAGAAGAGGAGGCCAATTGACATCTCAATGGAATGAATAAGTTGAGAAAAATTAGGGAAATCACACACACACACACATCTCAATGGAATGAATAAGTTGTGGCTAATTACAGAAAATCACAATTCTCCCAATATATAGGAAATGCGTCTAAATGTGAACATTGCAAATTTATCAAAGTTAAATATCAGAGACAAAGTGGAATCTTAAGGTCATTACCTATTCCATCGTTAAGTGAAAAGAAAACTTGTATGAATTTTGTGATGAGATTTCCTAAATACAGACAGTGACATTACTGCATTTTGGTAATAATTGACATATTAACGAAGTTTGCTCACTTTTTACCCATAAGTAAACAGAATCCATTGAAAATCTAGCAATGTAATATGTAAGAAATTATCAATTACATAACATACCAAAAGTGATTGTATATGACAGATGGCAGATTCATGACTTCAAATATAAAGTTATATCTTTGGGTGGCATTTCATTCATAAATTGCCGGCCAATCAAAAATGACTAGTCAGGTCTTAGAAGAGTTGAGTTGAAGTTAGAGAAGAGGAGGCCAATTGACATAGCAATAGAATGCATAAGTTGAGACAAATTAAGGCAAATCACACACACGCGCATCTTAATGCAATGCATAAGTTGGGGCTAGTTACAGTAAATCACAATTCTCCCACTATATATATATTATCCTAAGCACGGTCTTCTAATATTCATATTTATCACTTATCCCCATTCTGCCGTGACTAGGTGGCAAAACTAAAG